AACCCGATAGAGCACGTGGCAGGGACTCAAAGGTCAAAAGTTCCCTAGAGCAAGGAACTAAAGGATCCACCTAGAACAAACACCCCAACAGGCCACTTCCCTTTCCCGCTGACTGCTGACACAGACAAACCACAATTACCACAGGGCAGAGAATTCTCTATAAAAGCACTGCCACACAGTGCCCCATCATGAAAATAGAGGCAGTACCATGAAAAACTCGTGTACTCAGAGGGGACTAGCCTCTTGCTTCTGTTTCTTTTGGGGGGGAGATCAATATGGTCTCAGTATAAAGCCCTGGCTATCCTCAAACCCAGTGCTTCAGCCTCCTAGATGCTGGGATTACAGCATGAGCCACAAGGTCTAGCTTTGGGGAAAAACAAAGGCTAGTTTAACATTTCTCAAGGAATGGAAAATATTAGACAAGCTAAAAAATTATATGACAGCTTCAGTGGGAAAATGCTGCTAAGTACACATACATCCCAACCTGGAGTCTGGACTAATGGATTATGTAACTTCACCAAACTATAAAAGGTCTGCCTAAGCCTCCTGCACTGCTTGCTTATCAACATGCACCACTATGCTTTACTCCACACAAACAACATTTCCTAGTTAAACGTGAAAACTGATGACAATATAAGTAGATTACACATGCTCAAAATATGTATTTCCCTCCATTTATAGTCTCAAATTTAATACTAAAAGAAATGATTAGTAATTTAAGAGGATTTCTTCTTTGGGGGTTTTGAAAGATTTTTAGACAATGTTATTAAGAAAAAAATAGCCTTCCTAAATAAAAATCCCTCAAACACTATCTTTTCAACTATGTATCCTTCTTGAAAGCAAAACACTAACTTTTCAACAATGTATCCTTCTTGAAAACCAATCTATTTACAATCACAGCAATAATAATGTAAGAGTACTATATCCTGTGGGGTTTATGCATTAAAAACAAAAAGACCTCACTTTCCTGAAAATAAAAAGTCATGACACAGTGTTAAACTGCAAAATATGTGAATTATTTTGCAACTTGTTACTTAATCCAATCACCACAACCTCAAAAGGAAGTCACTCTCCCTGTTTTATAGAGAATACTGAAGCTCTGGTTTAGGTTGGCTGATCAATGTCCCTGAGCTGGGTAGGTAAGGCCTCTGCCCCGTAAACTGGTTTTAGTGAGCATGCTCTCCTGTCCCTGCTCTTCTTTCCCTGTCTCTGTGATCTCTAGCATACACCCATCCCCCTCCACAAGTAAAGAAGGCAATGCAGGTGTGTGGTGGTCTTTTAGCTGGAGGAAGAACACTTGCTATCCTTTTACACCTCCTGCATCCCAGGAGAATACTACTGCATAGGAAACCATGTCATTATTGTGGTAATTATCTGCTAAAATAATGACTCTTCCAATGGAATTTTTTATATCACAGGTATTGCTTTTATTCCTTGCTTCGGCCAAGCAGACCAAACATTCTACATGGAAGACAAGGCTATCCCGGCTCCCACTTCCATCTCCAGATGCTGTAAGACATCTGCTGGCTTTCACCACCTAGGAGGCAGACCCAACTCAGATGCTAGTACGTACTCCTAGAATAAGTACTTCCAACAAGTGAGAAAACCTCAGGCAAGTCCTACTTACTGTCCCACTGTAAGATACATTCCAGCAATGCCTATAAAAACAAATACAAATATGTATTGCTAGTGAATTATAAAAAGGATTTCTAGCCAATGTAATAGCACATACCTATATTCCATATTCTTGGGGCAATGGAAGGAGGATCTTCAGTTTGAGGCAGGCCTGGGTTATAGAGTGAAAATCTGTCTCAAAGGCAACAATATGCTATTCTTTCTTACTGCCATCTCTTACAAATGTATTTTTGTGCCTAATACAGCAACAGAATCCTGGCATCCAAACTACTAGGTAGCTGCTCTCTCCGTGGACTCTGATTGGCACAAACACATTCACACTCTCTTGGAGAAGTAGAATTTATGCTAACACTCATTGTCAACAGTTCTTTCTCAGGCTCCAACTCATACATATTCTGTATTTCAAAATGTGTAGAAATATTTGGACAAAGATAATACAGCTAATTTATATATTTAATGAAAAAGGAACAATTTCACAAGTTTTACCCCCACTAAATTTAGTGATTTTAGTAAGTAAAGGACTCATGGTCACTTAATTGTGATGAGTTCAAGTATGGCTTATGAGTTCAAGTGACACTAAGACACAGATCTAGTGTCTTAGTATTTACATTTTAATATTTTATTTAAATATTAGTACTATTTGTCAGGTTAAACAACCAAGCTTCAGGCACCAAGAACCACCAAAAAGGGTTAAACCCACAATCCCAGCCACCATGGACCACCCCCATGATAACCATCGTGGTTTGTTTCTTACACCTTTGCATTGCTAGTTAAGGGGTAAGCCTCTAAAACTGGGCAGTGCATGGTCATGAATAGCTTTTTCAGTACCTATAATCACTCTACAGTAGGCATATCTGTCTCTTCAGTGAACTAATAATCAAGCTACATGGGTTTGTGTTCCTAAGTGTTTATGGTTTACCTTCCTAATAGGAAGAGACCTACGTTTAGCACCAGTGTTTTCAGCTAGTTCCACTTCCTAAAACTCAAATAAGAACTACACAAGTTCCCTAGGACATTGCTAATGAGTATTCCTACTGTTGTTCCTTGGCCTATTTGTGGAGTCACATACAAGCTAATGGCAGTCCACTGCAGCTGGGAAGAAAGTGATATTTATGTGCAGGTCTCCTAAAAGGAATGCCAATACTCGAGTTTTAATATAACGTAATGCTACAGAATTATCCGAATCCCATTTAAAAAGCTATAATTTACTCCTAGGAGTAAAATTACACATGTACTTGATTCTCTGATGTGGACTAATAAGCATACCCTAGGGATAGCTTGTGGACTTGGCCACCTTCGGGCACAGAACATAAAGCTGGCATTAAAGTACATGCCCTACCCATAAATGTTATTAGTAAAAAAAAAATCTGCTCTAATAGTTACTAGGTACAATTCTAAAACTAGGTACAGTAATCTAGACCAGTATACTTTAGCAAAATATTAAGAGTTCATTTCTTTTCTTCATTGATTGAGGGCAGGGAAATGTGCTTCTCTTGGTCACAAACACTAATACAAGACAAATATGGTTCCTAAGCAATGAGAAGCCGAATACCTGTAACCGAAGTTCCTTCCGGGGCAATAAGTGCAGCCCCACGAACTTCCCCCTTACCGCGGTTCCCAGGTCTAAGCCTTCACCATCCTTGGGCCCACGTGGTTCTCCACCTCCATCACCAGCCCTTGGCCAGGCTCCGGGCCAGAGCAGGACGGCGCTGGTCACGTGGGCTGCGCGGCCGCCATCTTGCCAGGCGGAGGAGGGGCGGCCCTGCCTGGCCGCTGTCTGGGCCGCGACCGCGCGCGACCCCAGCGCCCTCGGGCGGACCCCGCGCCTCCAGCTCCACGAGCCGCCCGCACGCGCCCCAGCCTTCTCCCTGCGGAATCCCGTCCGCCCCCTACCTTGCGAGCGCTTAGGTCATCGAGGGCCGAGCAGCAACAGCTGGGCTAGACAGCGGGAATCCGCACTTAAAACAGCCCACCTGCACCAGCAGCCTCAAGAATGACAGCCTGAAAGCATCGAGATCCGCTCAAATGTCAAGGCCAAAACTAGTGGCAGCTGGAGGACTCGGAGACCACACAGTAACTCCCCACCTCCGAAAGGTGGGATCTTAGCAGCGTCATTAGACATAAACGGTTTGTTCACCAACCCTAAACAACTACTGGAGAAATATGCTCCTCAGCATGCCACCAAGTGTCTTGTGTAGCACACACAAATCCTCGTAGGATTTATTCTTTACTCCCACTTCCTGAAATTAATGGCAGGGTGCCCAATCTTTGTCCACTCCTGCCAGGATTCACTGGTGGCCAGAAAAGGCCAGGCACTGCAGTCAAGATAAAAATCTCATTACTCTAATTAGCGCATACCTATCCCCTCAGTCTGCTTTACAATACTCCTGACAGTTAAAATTCTGCACTGATGGACCTGTGCTGGTATAATACGAACAGAATGATATACACTTGTTATCTTTACATTGTCACAAGAAAGCATGTTAGAACATTTGCACATTAACCTTCAATTCATGCTTTCTGTTCTAAATGTAACAGCTCTGGCGTATCTTTTCAGGCATATTTGGTGAGTAGGCTGAAGTTTGAATTAAGTTTTTGCCATCAATACACACACGTGTGTACTGGTAAGAAAGACACTAGAAGATGATTTTATAATCACCAAGAAAATGCAAAGTACTGGCTTTTGTAAGATTTATAATAAAGCATGAACATGTCATTGTAGAAAAGTCTCACGGAAAAAAAAATGAAGTACCTGGCCTAGATTGTCTGTAAGGCCCTTGGAGATTGATCCTAAATGTCCTGGGTCCTGAAACACAATGCTCAATTTGAGTTCTAGATACCGAATGCCTTAAGATACGTGTTAACTTTCAAGCAAAGAGCGAAGGGAAATCCCCCTTCTTAAAGTGGAAAAGCTTAACATCCAAACCAATACCTTTCAAAAGATCTGATGCACAAAATAAGAACTTAATCTAGTTTTTACTGCAACTGAAACCTATCCCCATCCCCCATTAAATCGCCATCCTTAACCGGTTTATTGGGCCTAATGAAACAGCTTTCAAAACTCTGTAAAAATCCTTTAATGTTTGCGACAAGTGGATTCCTATGTACTAAATGCGGTGCTTTAATAACTCTAAAAGACAACGTTAATGCCTATAGTAAAGACCTAAGAGATCATCAGACCCAAATCTGGAAGCAGAAGTCAAGCCCCTTAGGAAAGTTTGTTTGGTAGTTTGTTAAAGACTTGGCTGGGCCATCCCAAGCCTTTTACCCAGATGACCAACCAGAGTTAGACTTAGGTCAGCCAATTCATATGTCTCCATAGATTTGTTTTCCCCAGGGAATAAAAAGATCTCTGAGTAGAAGCCAAAAGATCTATTCTAACTTTTTTTAAACTGGAACACGCTAAGCCTGAAAAGTCCCTTACTGCATAGGCAAGGTCAGTACCTTGGGAGTGCGAAGGAGTAATGAGGTTTTAAGCAGGCTGACAGGGTAGTATACTGAGGTTGGCAGGCCCCTATGCTGCTTCGTTTTTTTCCCTTGCACCTAGCGCACAAAATGCTCAAAGCCCAAACAAAATGTTCCAAAAGCCTCCTCAGCCGAGGTGTCAGGTCAGGGAGCTCCACGTCTCTCGTGGCAACTCGTGCACGTAGAGGAGACTTCTAGAGCATTCTGTTATGGCGGGTGGCTAGTATGTGTATGCGGGTGACTGGAGCTGATCCGCCCAAGAAAATTAGGGCTCCCCGGGGCCGAGAGTCGCGGCGTGGTTATTCCCAGGCACCTGCACCAGGCTGGGGTCAGAGCTGGATGGGGGGGGGGGGGGGGGCTCCGAGGGCGGGACCGGAGCTGCGACCGCACCACCACTCCTTCGCATCTCAGGGCGGGCGCCTTACCTGGGCCCTGAAGCCCGCAAAGTTGCACCGCTCCACCTCCGGATCCTCGGGCTCCACGCGGAGCGCGCTGCGGAGCCTCTCCAGGTGCTCCCTCAGGGTGACCCGCTGGTGGAAGGAGAAAGCCGGGTGCAGCGAAGCCATGGTGAAGAGCAGCAGCAGTTCCTCCTGGGCCCTGAAGCCAAGTCCGCCTTCAGTCCCGAGCTCGGCGCAGCCGCCGCCTTCCGGGCCGAGGCCGTCCTTCTCCGCGTCCTGCCCGCCATCGCCACCCGGCTCGTCCTCCACGCTGCCCGGCGAGCCCTCGGCCCGAGTCGCGCGCAGGCTCCTGAGCACCGCGTCCACCTGGGGCAGGAGGCGGTGCAGGCGGCCGGCGGCCTCGCGGTTCTCCGATCCCAGCAGCGCCAGGTACACGATGAGGCGCGAACGCACGGCGGGCTCTCGGAAGTCGGCCAGCGACCCTGGGTCCGAGAGGCCGTTGGCCTTGGCCTCGGAGTCGCGCAGGTAGTGGTAGTCCTTGCGCGCCAAGTCCTCCAGGCACGAGCCGAGAAAGCGCAGCTCCAGCGGGTTGCACAGGTCCAGCAGCCCGCACATGAACTCCAGGCGCTGCGCCGAGCCCAGCACCAGCCCGAACCACTCGTACACCCGTTCCTGCTCGCGCAGCGCCGCCGCGTGCCCGCCGCCGCCGCCCGGCATGCCCGCGCCCGCCGTCGGCCCGTCAGCAACAGGCGGCTCGAGCCCCCGGGGCGGCGGCGACGGCGGCGGCGGCGGCGGCGGAGGGGGGCCCCGCGACAGGCCCGTGGGCGGCGGCGGCGGGCGGCAGTCGCGGCGGCGGCGCAGCGGTGCCTTTGCGCCGGGCCGCGCGTCCGCCTCGGGCTCCTCCGCGTCGGGTGGCGGCTCGCTGGGGTGCGTCGATTTCGGCGGCAGCTTCATCCTCAGCATCCTCGGCTAAGGCGGCGCGGACATGCGAGCGAGGGAGCGGGGGCGGCGGGAGGAGCCGAGAGCCCGGGCGGCGGCACGGCAGTCAGGAACGCTGCCCCTCCATGCCGCCGGGGCGGGCCGGGGGCGGGTCTCGCCGGCGAGGGGGCGGTGGCCGGCCGGCGTCGTCCTCCCGGGCCGGAGGCGGGGCGTGCCCGCGGCGGCTCCTCCCCTGGGCGCCGCGCCTGCTGGGGAGCCGGGTGCGGGAGGAGCAAGCCGACCAGCGTGTCCTCCTTCTGCCTCCTTCTCCGCGTCCGCACTGGGCAGGCGGCGACGGCCAGAGCGGTTCCTTCTCGAGCCAGCTCAGGCAGAGCGGCTAAGAGAGGAGGAGGAGGAGCTGCGGGGCTGGGCGGAGGCGCTGGCGGGCACCGCGCACGGCACCCCAGCCAAACAACGTTCAGAGCCCGCGTGACGTAAGCGCCCGTTCCTCTCTCGGGAGCCGCCCTCTCCGAGAAGCCACGCCCAACTCCTGCTTGGCTGCAGGGCTGTGTCGGCTCCCCGTGGTCCTAATGCTTGGTTCCAGCGGGTTTGGGACCTTGGGACCTTAGGACCGCGGCGGGTGAGCTCGGCCGGAGCGTGGAGAAGCGTGCAAAGTTCACGTCTCAGGGGAGAAATCGGATTGCTTTTCTTGACGGATCTGGCCCAGTCCTGGATGCTGACCATCTCGCGTCAGCCGCCGCCCTGAAGCAGGACCAGCGGGTTCCGAGCCTCGGCCGCCTGGTGGACTTGGCGAATGCCAGCCTTTGGAAATTCCCACATTCTAAAACTTTACCAGGGCCATCGGTGTGGACGCTGGGACGCAGATCCGGGAGCTGGGTTGGCATGCGGAGCGGTCTGGGGCAGCGAGCGCCACGCTCAGGCTAGCTGCAAGGTGTTGATTTGGACCGGCTACCTAGCAGTGGGGACCTTGCAGCTAGGGATGCCTGGGCCAAATGGTTGGTTCTGGCTTGCAAGGTTCAGTTTAAGAACACCCTCCTGCCCCAAGTCTATGATTTTTCAGAAACATTTATTGACTACGTTTCAGTTCCGCGAACACTGGAAATCCTTGTGATGGTGTGAATTTTCTGTAACTCAAAGAATTTAATAAGATACGGTCTTGACAAAGCTTTTAACTTTTAAAGTAATATTACATGTTTTAAGGCTTGGAGACCTCCAAAATGTCCCGACTCTTAAAAAAAAGCCATCAAGTCGCCTTGATTCCTCCCAGGGCCATCCTCCATGCTCTCTATCTCTCTCTGGTGCTGGTACCTGAACTCCCTTCATATTTCTGACCATGCTGCTTGTCAGCCCATGGCTGTAAATACATCTTGTGGCCTGGAGGGGAAAATCAGTTTTTTTTTTTTGTAGGGTTGTTAATAAAAGCAGGTTTGTTTGTTTTTGTTTGGTTTCCCCTACTGATTTAAATTAAGAACTCTTGCTACATAGCCTTAGGACAAGTGTGAGAAAAGTGAAAGTCACGATAGCCCGTTTCAAAGTGCAGGGCTGTCTACAGGGTATGTAGAATCCTTGTCTCACAACGCTGCAGCTTTACCATTCAGGACAAACCTGACCCCTGAGTCATTGTCAGTGATAAAACTGGGAAATGGAGAATTACACAGCACATTTTAGGTTGGCAAAAATAACCAAAAGCTACCCTGTCGTGTAAATTTCTGTTCCCTTGTGCTTTTAGGGTCTAACTTAAATGGAGTAAAATGTCAGCTTCAACTACCAACTGCCCTCAAATCTACTATTCCCGCTTGGTCTCTTGATCACGAGTGGGGTGGAATGCTGTAAGAGACAAATAGTGTGAGAACCCCCCACACTGCCTTTGGATGCCTTATGTAATGAATAAATGCTGTACCTCCAAACTGAGTTTTACATTGATTACATCTTTACATTTTCCTTGGTGTCAAACTCACATCAGAGTTAAATCTGCAATTAGTAATGGGGGTTTTCATCTTTGTAGCTTTGCCAGCATTAGAAAACACAATTGAGCCGGGAGGTGGTGGCGCACGCCTTTAATCCCAGCACTTGGGAGGCAGAGGCAGGGGTATCTCTGTGAGTTTGAGGCCAGCCTGGTCTACAAGCTCTAGATCCAGGACAGCCTCCAAAGCCACAGAGAAACCCTGTCTCGGAAAACCAAAAAGAAGAAAGGAAGAAAGAAAGAAAACACAATTGATAACAACACGTATAAATAGCATACGCAATAGTTTAATGACTCAGGTTACGCTCCAGCAGCTTGAGGATTTTATTCCCACAGGGTGTTGTTTCAGGGCCCTTTCTCAACCCTGTAGATCACACACAGGTCTAGGTGTTTTTTCCACCTGTGATAAGTGAGAGAACACGCTGTGCAAGAGTGAATGATGGCTGCCAGGCTTGTAAGGGAGAGCCCAGGGCAAAAGAGGAGTGTGTTCACTTGGGGGAACCTACCCTGGGGATTCTAGTGACTCGAGAAATACGTTCTCCCAGCTGGTTGGAAAAACCTCTAAATTCCCAGATGTTTTACATTCCATGTATAAGCAAATCAGATGGGCAGCAGTAATGGGAAGTGTGTGGTTTTTGTACACAGGCTTTTCATCCTGGGATTGTGATGGTTAAACTTGGCTGTCAGAGACACGCTTCTGAGGCGATCCATGAGTATAGTTCTTACGAGGCTTGACTGAGGGGTGAAAGACCCTCCCCCTTAGGATGGCACCCCATTAGGGAGGGCAGCATCTTCCAGAAAGCGGCCCAGATGAAAAGTGGCGCAGGGGAATGCTGCCTGCCTGCCTTTCCCTTATCTCGGGTGAGAATATCTCCACTGCCCCTGCCACTGCGGCCGTCTCCTTCCCTGACTTCCTAGCCCAGTTTTACCCTTCTAGTGAAAACTGAAGACCAGAAACTTTCCAGGTCTTCCAGTCCTTCCTTCATTGTCAGATTGGGACTGCCGAGGCATCTAGTTCTAGACTGGGAAGCTACTAGGTTCTTGGTCTCTCCAGCATGGAGACAGCCATTGTTATCACTAGCTGGTAATCCCATATTGCACAAGCCAATCTAATAAACCTATTTGTACATATTCCATTGGTCCTGTTCCTCTGGAAAACCCTGACTAATAGCCCCTGAAAAGCAGTTTTTCAGGACACAAGGTGCTATTGTGTCCTGCCCTTAATATGATCTTGATTCTCATTTAAAGTAACATGAAAGATGCTGTTACTTTTAACATTCAAGTATGTATTCCTCTGCATTAAGATACCTGGTTTCAAGGGAAGGTTGTACCTTGGATTTAGATGCTAGCAATGATGGAAGGAACTTTTAAAGTTTTATCCAAACCCCGAATAGCTGAGTGGTTCAGAATAAACTGATATACTTCACATTATCTGCTCTGTTAAAAGGATGCATTTGGGGGTCTGGATGGTTCATCAGTCCAGTGTGTGCACTGCTCCTACAGAGGACCCAAGTTCAGGAGTTCAGCTCCCAGCACCCACTTCAGGTAGCTCACAACTGCCTATAACTCCAGCCCCGGGGCATCTGATGCCTCTGTCCTCCATGGCACCATGCTCATGGGTACAGACATATGTGTACCCATAATTTAAAGAGCTGTATGTTTAAGCACTCTACTTAGCTAAGATGTCATCTAAAACAGCCAGTCTGATCCATCTCTATAGTCTTGTGAGTCATGAATATTGATCTACTGATATTCTAACATCTCTCCTCCACTTGATTTTTTTTTTAAGACTTGTTCTCAATATGTCATCTAGACTGGACTTGAATTTACAAGTGTTGTAGGAATTCATTCCACCAGTAGATTTTGGGTACTGGCCTTAGGGTGTGGCTCCTTGTCTCTGGATGTGACCTCTCATAAAGAAAGAGGGGGCAATCACTCACTCTCAAGTGTAGTGGTCAGAGAGCAGACTGTGGGCTCCATTCACCCTGGGCAGAATGGAAGACCACAGTGGCTATCTACCTTTGTTGTGTATCCATGAGTGTTTTCTAATAAATCCTTCATACTCATTTAATTAGGCTCCCGTAGATTCGCTTACACACAAGTAGTAGGATTATAAGTGGGAGCCACTAAGCACACTTGGCTGGGATATAAATGTCAATTGACTAGCCATGTTTTATTCAACTTCATATTTTACCAGCTGTTCACCTGTTCATTCCATTTAGCATGTGGTAGATGTTCATAAATGATTGTGAAATAAACAGCTGAATGAACAATAGAACAGAGGTAAAGGTCAGAAGTTTTTGGGTCATGGAGTCTTTTTGTCCATGTCTAGCAGGAAAGACAGAATGGATCAGCATCTTCAGGCCAAGCCCGAGGCTCTCCCTTATTCCCCTTGCCCAAGTTGTGTGTTCACCCTTGATCAATCTCTGGGTCCAGACAAGTGGGGTTAGCCTCTTCAGAGTTGTAAGGATCCCCAGAAAAGACATCAGGGGTTGTAACAAAGAAGGACAGGAAGCATGGATGCCAAGAAAACAAAGTACATGTCAATGTCATTGTACGTTTGCCTGCCTTTTTATCACTTAAAATGTCATGAGTATATTTCAAAAGTAATTTTCTGTTCAGGCAGGTATATGCGGATGTTAATTTTTAAAGCACATTTGAAAACTTTATCAAAAGATCTTAAAATCACACAAGCTAATTATTTGTTGACATACAACTTAAAATTACATACTAAAATTTAAAAGATAATTTTTTGTCACAGTTTCTGAAAGTATAAGGCAGTTGAGAAAAAAATCACAAGTACTGTTTCTGTGACAGTATTTTCACTGGTAGCCTGGGACTCTGTTTCCAACTGTAGTGGAAGCCATCCTTGCTGGTAGCCAGCCTTGAACTGAATTGAGAGTTTCCCTGGAGTTTTGATTCTGCATGTCAAAAAGATTCTGTGGGCCTAACTTGACCAGAATGCCTTTGTTCTCAAACACTGCACATTGAAATTTTTAGGAAAATGAAATCCATGATCGTTGACTGTTGAAAAGTAAACTTGATAATAAATTATTTCTTTTGGAAAGTTCTCTGACTTCTGTTAGAAATATACAAATCTAAATTTCTGCTGCTTAGTTCGAAACAGGTCGTGTCACAGGACAGATGAACTCCAACTTGTTAAGTCTGAGGAATTCTGAGTGTCAAAAATAATGCAATGATATTAAAGGATTAAAAACTATAACCCATGGGGGTAAAAAGGAGTGGGTGTGGCTGCTGGAAAACTCTACTGGAAAAGGCAGAGAATATCCAAGGTAACATTTGTAACCCTCAATTGTAACTATTGGTTTTGATCCGATTACTGTTGGATGCAAAGTTGTTGGGAAACAAAGTACATGTTCTCCATCACCTCGGCAAGAAAATAGAAGCTAGGCTCAGCCGTTAAGAGCTCTTCTTGCACTTGCAGAAGACCCAGGTTCAATTTCCATCACCCTCATAGCTGCTTACTACTCTCCATAACTCCTGTCAAACATCTGGTGCCCTGAGCACACATGTACACATAAACAAAAAATTTGCATACAAAAAGTAGGTAAATCTAAAAGGTATTTTAAAACAAAGAAAAATATATTTTATAGGAAGAAATCTAACGAATGGCATCAAAGCCAGGATGTCACAGATAGTATTAGCAACAATGGAACACTAATATTTTCCTTTGTCATATGAAGAGTGCTACTAGAAATATGCACACCTTATATTCATGTCAAAATATGTAAAAATGAATGTAATCATGAGGAAATATGGGACATTATTTGGGATTATCTCAGTATTTAATTCAAAATATCAAACCATCAAAGTAAATACAGGATACTGTTCTAGATGAAAGGATTCTCAAGAGAGATGACAACTAGATATAATGCTTGATTTTATTGGTTCCTTGAATTAAAACTCTAAAAGGCATTTGGGGGTAATTAGATAATTAAACTATGAGCGTATTAGACACTTTTTGCCTCAATCAATGCTAACTTTCTTAGGTAAAGTAATAACAAGGTAGCTTGTAGGAAAAAGCCTGTCTTCGAGAGACGTATACAGAAACACCAAAGGTTGGAATGCCGTGATGCAGGAAAATTAATAGAAAAGCCAAAGTAAATGTAATAAAATATTAACACAATCTAAGAGGGGTAAACAATGTACTGTTTCAGTTTTCTCTTGGTGTGAATGTTTTTTCAAAATAAAATGAAGAGTCTAGAGTTCCCAAGTACACATCCAGAGGATTCATGAAGATAGTACAGAGCCAGGCTCCATTGATACACAACTCAGTCACTATACGTCGATGTGACTATAATGAAATGGAAACCTTCTTACCACTTAGTAGTTTCACAGCCATTATAACATCAGCACAATACATTCCTGACTTACTTGTGATGATTCTGGTATAATAAGCCCATGGTGCTGCCCACCATATGAAAGTGTAACACATGCAGCTGTATGTAGTATGTACATTGCTTGAAGATGGTAAGTGTTTGCTCCTGGTGCATGTACTATACTTGGTTATTTTGGAGTGCCCTACCTATACATAACAGAGTGCTGTGGCACACTCACACCAGACTCATGTTTATTGTGTGTCTTGGTTGTGTTGGGAAGTCATCTGGATGCATTCTGTAGCGTTCAGACAGTAACATCAGCTAGCCATGCGTTTCTCAGAATGTATTTCTGTTGTTAAGTGTGCTCTGCCACAGTTTCCACTCTGCAAGTATAGCTTAACACATTCATCAACCAGTTTTCTAAGTGGGACAAAACATTATTCAAAGTCCCTTCAAACCAAGATATAAGATTTGTAAAGGGGCTTAAAAAGGTGGAGAGCTGTTTTTCTGAATGTGTTACCTCAAGTTATTGACCTTTCAAAAAAACTTAGGGAGTAAAGCTGGACAGAACTAACTGGTCATGACTTGCAGACTCACAAGGTGTCCCAAGAATCGGTTTGTCAATGTGTTACAAAGGAAACCTGAGACAGAGCCAAGTCCAAACAAGGTCACCATCAGCGGAACCCTGAAGGGAGGCTGGAGAAAATCATAGGGCACAATAGTACAGTGGAGTGCCAAGAAGATGCCATCCTGCCTGGACTACCAGAATTCAATTCTCTTCATTAGTTGATCGTTTTATCTGCCTTCTTTCAAAACAGATCCAAGAGGCTGCTTGTCATCTGAAACCGGAAAATGGACAGCATGTTCACAGGGTAAAGCTGACTCCATACTCCTGGTGTGATCAGCTCCTACAGCCATGCATATAACTTTCTGTCACTGCTAACACCCACTCTGCCCTGGAGAAGAGTTCGTTCTTTTGGTCTGTCTTTTACTTTCATAAAGAATTCCCTTTCATCTGTCAGATTTTCACTCTGTAGCTGTAACTCAGAGAATCAGTCTTGACAAAGACTCCAGTGTCCTTGTGAGTTACTGTGAGAAATGGAGGCAGGCTTGCTACCTACCATCATGACGACAGGGCTGTTCCCATATTGGAACTGAATAAAAATCTGTTTTACCAGAACCTTATAGGTAAGTCAGAGTAACCATTCCCTCTGAGTGCTACCAATTGGGGTAATGATATGACCTATAATGATGACTCAGCCTGCTCTTCATGTTCTTTGAAATTATATATCATATTAATGTAAATAATATTGATATGAAACAATACTGCAAGACTACTGCACGCTGGAACAGACTTAATGTAGCTCGCTTGAGAGAGTAATTCTCTAGAATGCATGAAGACCCCAGTTCCATCCCCAGGGTTACATAAAGCCTGGCCTAGTGACACTCAGTTGTAACCCTAGCACTGGGAGGTAGGAGGATCAAATTTGCAAGGTTATCCTCAGCTACATAGTAAGTTTGAGGCCAGCCTAGGATATATGAGCCTTTTCATTTTCTTGAGACAGTTTCTCACAAGATATCTCTGGAAACAGGGTCTCACTGCCTGGCCTGGAATTCAGTATGCAAACAAGGCTGACCTTGAACACACAAGTGCTGAGACCATACCAAGACTGAAACCTTATTTTATAAAAATAGTTGGAAGAATTTTTATAATTATTCAGTTTTAAGTGTTACTTATCAATTTTAAAGGAATGGTTTCAAACCTTTGCACAAACAAAATAAAAAGTAGATTTAGTTAAGTCCTAGGTAAATCTGATTACTTTTTAAGATTATTTTATTTCTGAGATTATGATTACATCATTTCCCCTTACCTTTCCTCCCTCCAAACCCTCTCATATACCCTAATTGCTCTCTTTCAAGTTCATGATCTCTTTTTTCATTAAATGTTGCTACATACATATACATATATAATATATTCCTAAATATAATTGCAACCTGTATAATGTTACTTGCATGTGTGTAACTGATTTCTTTTAAAAATATATTCATTTAGGAGCCTGTGAGATGTCATTGGAGAAAAGCACTTGCCATACAAGCCCAATGTCCTGAATTTGATCGCCAGAACTTGGAACCCATGATTAAAGGAGAAAACCAACTCCTGCAAGTTGTCCTCTGACTGCCACACCTCACAATAATAATAAATAAAAATGTACTCTTAAAATTGATTTTTAAATTTTGCTAAAATACATGATAAGTCTATTTAGTCCATTTGAAAATTATAGTCAGTCAATTTAGAAAGATATATTCTGCATTTTCAACTGATTATCATAATCGCTGGAGCTATGCAAATATAAACTAAGCAAACATTAACTATGTTCTTGCTGTGTTTGCTTAAGAGTTTAGTTCAACATGTGATGCTGACTTTTGTTGGAACCCAGCCCCCACGGGGTCTCTGTGAGTTACTTGTTAGCCAGTAACCACAGGTGCATCCTGTTTTCTTGTCCTGGCTTACATCACCGGCCTTGCACCACTGGCATCAACCTCTACCTATGAAAACATGGACTCTTACACCTGGGGTTTCTCTACTCTACTGTGCTGTAAGTCTGCATATAAGGCTGCTCCCTCCTTGCAGTAAACACACACACACACACACACACACACACACACACACGCACACACACACACACACACACATATTCTCTATTAACAGATAGTTATTTTGTTACTAAACCTCTAATCAAGGTTCATTTTCCTACAGGATACAGAAGTATTTTAAATTTTTCATCACTCTTTGCAACGTTGATAGAGTTTTCAATCTAAGTCTCAAAGTTCTTATTGCTTTTAGGAAATTCTTCTCTTGTGTTTTTGTGAGACAGACTAAGATGAAAACTTTTAATTTGCACACACCTATTGGTTCTCAGATTCAACTGCAAGTATAAGACTAGCAAGCACATGGGGGGGATCCTTGTTGCCACTGAGATTTGGGTAGCCTGCAGAACCATTTTGGGTCTAGGAGAAGATTTTGGAGCTGGTGCCAGAAGACTTAGAAGTGACTAAAGAACATTGTCATCTGCTGGCCTCTGACCTCTCAGAGTCTGGGTTGCAGCTGATGACTCATCAAGCTAGTCACATGTAGGAGACAATCACATGGTACTAAATTGAGGCTCGTGAACATGATCAGTTCTTCCAGAACCCACGCCAGCACATTTACTGCTACAGCCAGCCAGTCCTTTGACTGCACAGTCTTGCAGTGCTTAAAGTCAAGGGATGCTGCCAGCTCTGGTAAAAGCTACACTGCCTCTTCCCCAGATGGCACCTGGTACCTGAACACTGAGCCAGTGGCCTTAAGAACTGATGCCATTCGTAGATGTAAAGGCTCAGGCGAGAGCTGCCCCAGTGATGGTTTCTGTTTTCTTCGCCCAAGCCTTCTAGCCAGTGTGTTCGTTACTCTGGTGGTTTGAAGTCACAGAAAGGAAGGAAATGACAGTCAAGGGAAAAAAATAATCATTTCCTCATAGGAAAACAAGACTACCTTAACAGAACAACCACAATGGTGTGAACGACCATGCTGAATGCTGGGCAGTGTGAATTTACTAGCGATTTTGTGAGCATCTATTCATCTTCATGGCACCCTTCAGACATGTGCCATTGTATAGATGAGGAAATGGAGGATGAGAGGTTAGATCATTTCCCCTAGGTCTTATCCTAGAAAGCAGCCCAGACATTCAAACAGTGGTTGGCCACCCTAAAACCAAGCTTCAGCTACTACACTGGTAATGACATGTGAGATACTTTCTCAATGAAACCAAAGAGTTTAATGTTTACCATTTGTTTCCTGAATATAAATCCATGTGAATCCACTACTAAAATTTTAACTAATACAATGAAAAACTAAATTAGCCACAATTCCTCTAAATGTAGTTAACGTTCGTTTGACCCACTCTCCATGGTACTAGGAATTGACTCGGGGTCTCCTGCAGGGTAGGAAAGTCCTCTACCACTGAGTCCTACCCCAGCCTACAAGTCCTGTTCAACGTTTTTCTGTGACTGAGTTGTGTAGAAGGTTCTGGGGCCTTGCACTTGTGGGAAGTACTTTACCACTGAGATACATAACTGACTGGTGATTTTTTTTACATTTATTTATTATGTGTGTGCACACACACATATCTTGGCCTGCCTGTGGAGGTCAAAGGGCAACTTGTAGGAGTTGATTTTCCCTTCTCTCCATGATTGTTGGCAAGAGGCTCTTACCAACTGAGCCATCCTGCAAGCCCCTGAGTGTTGGTTGTTGTAGAATACATATTCTACATATTTTAAACATTTTGTTTAAAAATAGATTTCTAGTTTCAATTTTGGATATTCACTAATATGTAGAAATATTATTGATTTTGGTATGTTAAAATTTTATTCTGCAACCTCACTGATTCCTTCAATACTTCTAGTAGTTTTGTGTATGTGTGCGTGTGTGCATACATGTGCATGTATATACTCATGCACATACATTCCTCAGTTTCACATACAGGATCATAAGTCTATAAGGATGCTTTTAATAAAGTTCTCATCCCTAGCCTTTTTTGTCTTCCCTGAACTGCCTAGAACTTCTAGAACAAAGCAAACAGCGATGACCAGAACTGGCACTTTTGCCTTCAGCCCAATCTTACCAGGAGAAAAATGTAGTGTTTTACTGTTTTTGCAAGTCTGTACATGTTTCATTCAGTGTGTGTGTGTGTGTGTGTGTGTGTGTGTGTGTGTGTGTGTGTGTGTGTGTGTGTTTCCTTCTATGTAGAAATGGTACACTGCTGAGCAATTGTCCTAGACTCCCGGCCATCCATCAAGGCTGTGGACCAGCAAACCTTCCCTGAAACTTTACATGCCAGGTCCACAAGGGCCTTCAGACTTCTGGGAAAGACAGAGGGTTTTATGCTTTCTCTAGTACTTACGAAATTGTACTTTGCATGTGTGGGTATTTTGTTTGCACTTATGTTTCTGTACTAAAGGAGTGTCTGGCACCCTCACAGGCCAGGAGAGGAGTGTGTGGAACTTTCAGAACCCCCAGTTGTGAGCATCCATCTGGCTGCTGGGAACCAAACTCTGGTATTTTGGGAGAGTGCACCTTGTGCTCATAAATTTCTGAGCCATCTTTCCAGATCCTGTTATATTTTCTAATCCTAAAGAGATGCTGGATTTTGGAAAGAAATGCTTTCTAGTTTTTGTTCACATGATTGTATGCTTTTTAAATTCTATTTTATTAAATGACATTCTGATATTAAACCAGTCTTACATTCCTGGAACAAATGTTAGTTGGTGCAATCTTTTTGTATATTATTGGTTTCACTTTGCTAATATTCTGCTTAGGGTTTTGCTGTGTTCCTACAAGGAACATTAAAAATATGAGTTTTTTTTCCTTAGTACTTACTCTTAAATTGTGCATATGTGTTTGTATTTTAATGTCTTTGGTTTGGGTACACATTTACATGGTCACAGAATAACTTGAAAATATTCCCTCTGGCTTTGTTTTCTGGGAGAGCTGAAGTTATTTTTCTTTTGTACATGACTTGTAGAATCTGTCCCTAGAAAAATAATTGGGCCTTGGATTTTAACTGTGGAAGTATTTTAAATTACAAATTCAAGTATTTCACTATGGGTCTGTTCAAAGGTTCTATTTCTTTTAGAATTCAGATGCTTGAATTTTTTCTTCATAGGAATTTGTCCATTTCATCTCAACTATATGATCTGTTAGCATAAAGTTCTTCATGATATTTTCTTTAGCCCCCCCCTTTTTGAGATAGGGTGTCACTATGCAGCTTTGACTGTTCTGGAACTCACTCTGTAAACCAGGCTGGCCTCTAACTCAGAGAGATGTACTTGCCTCTGCCTCCTGACTGCTGGGATTAAAGGCCTGTGCCACCACTGTCCAGCTTCCTTTAATGCCTTTAATTTAATTTTAATATTTATAATTTCAGTGGTGATGTTGTTCATTCATTCTTGCCTGTGTGTGGTCTGTCTGTCTGTCTGTCTGTCTGTCTGTCTTCTCATCATTTTTTCATCAATCCACCTAGAGTTTTGACATATTCTGATATTCTCTCAAAACCTTTCTACCTTTGATTTTTCTCTATCTGTTTCCTCTTTCATTGACCCCCCTCCCCATTTCTCAAATTGATTATTTCCTTCTTTTTATTAGTTTGGGCTTATTTGCTGTCTTGTCTTGTCTTGTTCTATTAACAGTGCTCCGCCAACTGGGTTCCTCTGTGTACTGCCTTAGCTACAGCCCCTACATTTTTTCTTTTTTTCTATATATTTTTTTCTATATTTCACTAAAGGTATTTCCCTTGAAATATTGACATCAAGTGAACTTGTTGGACTTATCCTAGAATTCATTTATTCTTTCATAACATCAAATCCATTACTGAGACTCCCCAGTGCATTTTTTCATTTCACTTTTCACCTACAAAATTTCTGCTTGGTTACTTTAACCATTTTCTATACTTTTATTAACATTTTTTGTTTGGCAAGATATTGTCATTTTGTTTATTGTTAACCTTGTTTCTCTCTCTCTCTCTTTTTTTTGGTGTTGTTTTTGAGACAGGGTTTCTCTGTGGCTTTGGAGACTGTCCTGGAACTAGCTCTTGTAGACCAGGCTGGGCTCGAACTCACAGAGATCCGCCTACCTCTGCCTCCCGAGTGCTGGGATTAAAGGTGTGAGCCACCACCGCCTTGTTTCCTTTTTTATTTTAAACTATACTTGGTTTTTGGCCACTGTCTCCAACATCTGACTCCACTCAGAGGTTGTCTCTTGTCTGTTCTTTTGTATATCTCGTGACTTTTTTTTTGGACATTTAGAGAGTATATTATAACAAAGCATTCGGTTCTAACACCTGCAGCTGTGGTCGTGGCTGTGATCTTTTAATCGTCTGATGGTTTACCTGGACTGGGGAGGCTGGCCTTCTAAAAACATGTAGCAGCTGTTGTCTGTGTTCAGCTCTTGATTGGTTTTTGGATTGAAATTCATCATTCACTGTGCAAAAAGTTCACATTTCTACCCTGTATCATAAAGCCTCATCTTCAGTTAGCTTCGAAGTTACACAAGGCCTGTGCTGCTCTCTTCTGAGCATGTTTACAACTGTGTACATGCATGCAGTCTTCAAACCTGCCAGGAAAATGGAGGAGCTTCTCAGGGTCACATAGGGGACACAGCCCCCAGATTGTCACACTGTTTAACTTCT